AGATACACCCTAAATAATGCAATTTATAGTATTACTTCTAATATTGATCTCTGCTTTAAAAAGTTGTCGATGCCAAGTTCTTTGAGGCATGGCAAAAGTTTCAAGTCAATGAATTCGTAATTTTTTTTAATATAAACACTATTTACAGTTCAACAGTAGCCACTAATCAAAGCCTTAGTCGTCTGTGCTATCACTCAAGAGTATATTCAAAGCATCTGAATTAAAAAAGAAAGAATTACAAATAACCCTTTTAATGACAGTAGTGATAGAATATATAAGGAAGAAAATCAAACCGAATGAGTTTAAATCATAAACCAAAATACTGAAAGCGTTTATCACATTCTAGCACTGTTTATTTTCACAAAGACTTGTGGACATCCATAAATATACGTGAAGAAATAAATAAATAAACTTGAACATTATTGTGTGGCCATTGACATTAATTCATTAAAATTATTCAAATCTTCTCATATTTCCTTCTCCTTTCAATTAAAAGTCAATTCTTTTTTGAAAAGAAAAAAGAACTTAAAGATTATGCCACCAATTTAGAAAAGTAAAATACATACCTGAGAGAAACAACAACCCATCTTGAACAAACTAAGAACTCCCACAAAAGGACTGAATTTTCTGCTGCAGAAATTAATAGTTTGCTGTGGGAGAAAGCCTATGGGTCAAGCATCCCTGCACCTTTGGTATATATATACACATATTTGTTTCAATGTATCAAACCATTTGAAAAAAAAAAAAAGGGTATCTTACCATTTGACTTAGCAAGGTATATTTACTAAGTAAATATTAGGAAATCATAGTTCTTATATAAATTTAGGCATCTATATTCTCTATTTGTTAAGCTTGCTAGTTATTAACATAGACGGCGAAAGATTCCTTTTACGATTCGTCGGATGCGTAGTCAAATAAGGTTAATAATTTCCAATATTCTTGGAAATCAAATCAATTGGTATCTCCTTAATAGTACTGGTCAATTTTGTACTGGTAAGAATTCCCTTTTCCTTGTGTAAAATGCAAATTAGGTATAAGAAATGGGAAGTGGTTCAAGACTTACCCCTTTTAAGTTGAATTAAGTGACTCACAAAACCACCAAAGAAAATAACTGCTTTTCAGCCCTCATAAAATTTAATGGTTTTTTCTAACGGGGTCTTAAAGAGTTAGACAAACCGAAATTTAATTCATACCAATCTTTGAGAAATACGCCTTTTGTGTGAAAACATAATATATGCAGAGGTATGTTCCTTAACTTAATACTATAACGTTCTCGATGAAATTGAGAATTTGTGATATTATAGTGACCAAAAAAAATTCTCGAGCTCTGAATCAATTATTTCAAAGCGATTTAGGTAATAAATTTTATCACTTGGAATTTCATATTGGATTCTTTACACTGCTATATTTCTGAAATCGCCCAAGATAACTGTTGTTTTACACTATTAATTCTTCTTTGTGGCACAAGTATCAAATAAAGCGAACATGAGAACATTTCACAAGCCTGACTTCAGTATTAAAATTTAGGAATAGGAGATCGTATATTTATTTTTTGTGCCCATACCATTTTTATGGTACAAGGAAAATTGGTAAATTGTTTTCCATTTTTTTATTAGACCCTTTTATGAGAATGAAAGTGAATGTTAAATTAGATAGCTGTTAAACAAGTTTGCAACCATTAAGTCTACGTGAAACGATTATTTTATTTATTTCAGTCTAATGGTTTGTTCATTGGTAGCAATTAATACATAATTATAACTCCAATTTTCATATCTTAGATTAAGATTTATTAGTATCAAGGTGCTTTGGACTGTTTGACATTTTCTTTCAATATTTTTTTGGGGTACAATTTCAGTCTTCTCTTAACCACTCTAACCATTAATGAGCTCTAATAAAAAAAAATTACTCGTGCTAATCTCCCCGGTATTGTTAACTCAGAATTTTGTATTTTGATTGGGTTTTTCTGCTTTCCCTCCTCAACTAACTCTTCTGTCCAATTAAATTTGAACTCTTTTGCCAGTTTTGGAGTTTTTGAAATAATGAAGAGAAAAATAATTTTGGAGTTTTGGAGTTTAAAAGAAGAAAAATGAAGAGACTAGTATGAAATAATTTTGGACATATTGAGTATGAGTAATTTGTTTACTGATATTTTATGGACAATTTGACACTTAGAAGACGTTTGGTTGCTTTGCTTCTACTATTCTTCCATTTCTCTCATATTTGGAGGGAAACTCTTAAAAAAAAAAAAAAGAAAAAAGAAAAAAACGTATTCGTCCCTCCATGTCTCTCCTTTCTTTCCTTTTTCTTCCACTCAATACTAGTTCCACCTTTGAGACGCGCAGGCTCTTTACCTTCTTTACTTGATCGGTATTTCTTTGCAATAATGTGCTCAAGAATGTGACATTAAATCATTGCTTGTCCTTGCAAGTTGCAAGCTTGGCGAATTGTTTGTTTGATTGAAGAGTGAAATCCATCGAGGTGTTGAAGCAATAATGGTGATTTTATAATGTGAGATGTTTGATTTATTCATTTTCTGCGTTACTTCTTTTTGAAACTATCACTTGCATCCTAAAATCTTAAGAATATAGCCCAAAAAAACAGCCCTTGAAATATACATCTATAAAAAATCTTGCGCTTAAAAACAAAAACCAACCAAATATAATTCAACTCAACTCCTTCAAGCCAATTCCGCTAGATGAAATGCCCAAATTCAATTATTCATGAATTCCTAGATAGTTGTCAGTAGAAACGGGTTAAATAGATAATACAAAAGGGCCAAAACCATGAGGAAAAGCACCATGAAAAAAGTGTCTTATACAAAAGTGTACTAGTACACTGCAAAATAAGTGTCGTCTACAACAAACCAGCCCTCGAATATTCACCTAAGCACCATTAAAGAAGACATTTAATGTTTGAAGGAAATATACAAGGATTTCTAAAATCTTAGTGGGAGCGAATTCCAATTTCTACATGAATATAAATAAAAATTTCAAATTTTTTGAAGAGCCGCATCAATATTTGTAAAATCTTGGTGGCCGATAGAGCTGGCAATTTGTCCCAAGTCCCAATGGGCTACCCATGCCCAAAAGAACTTTGGGCGGGATGGGTATTATAATTTGGTATTGGGTTTAAGTTGGGACACATCCCAACTATACCCATTAATGAATGGGAAAGGATGGGAAATACTTGGGTACCCATTGGGTTCAAATGGCAAGGGCTCCGTTTGGATTAGCTGTTTTTGGTAGGTGTTTTTGAAATATTTTATTGTAGCAGTGTATATGAAAAATTTTTACTATAAAATTTTTTTGAAATATTTGATATATTAATATGGATGGGATGTTTCTTGAGTTATTGTATATTACTGTAACATTGTATTTGAAAAACTTATTTTTTGAAAAAAAGTCAATCCAAACGGAATCTTAAATTCAAAAATTATCTTTAACAATTTTTATAGTCATACCAGCGAATATAATCTAGTAGTCTTCCTAGTCATTATCCACAAGAATTTCCAGCATTTCAGTTAGTTTAGACCTGTCATCCTTGGACAATGATAAGGATAAATATTCAACATCCTAAAGACCTTGGCCATCTTGATATATGTTGGAATATGACTGTATATCTATCTTTTCCTTTATTTGTTAATCCAATTTTTGGTGGGAATCTTGAGTATAAAGCACTTGCATGTTTATTTAATAAAACTAAAAGAAATTTAATAAATCAAAAATATTAAAATTATATAAAAATAAAAAATGAATTAAAGGAAAAAAAATATGTAGAAAATGGATTTGGGTATTAGGCGGGATCAATCTAAACCCATCCCAAAATGATCCCGCCAAGTTAGTCCCAAAACACATATGGATAAGGTTGAGCCCAAACCCATATGACTCGGTTCCATCTCAAACCCAAGCAAATCCCGCCCATCCCCCATTTTGCCACCTCTAGTGGCCGATGCCCCTTACCGCCCTACACAGAGGAGAAGCCCTCCCCATCCAGTATTCCATGTTACAAAAGTTTCCCCCTTCTACCCTACTGCCCCACAAGTTGCCATTACAATTTTATTCGACTTTATCTTTTCTACATAAACAACACCAATAGTAATTTTGCTAAGCATTATTTAGAATTTTTACAAATAATTATCCAAAGTTAGATCAAGTATAAATATCACTTTCGTTGTTCGAGTTCGTTTCTCCATGTTTGATGCCTCAGAAGACTTAAATCAGTAGCTGTTACATTTAGGAGCAACATGCAAGACAAGACAGACACCCTTGGACAAGCTACATAGGATCCATTACATATTTCATAGTGTTCTTTGCAGCATATGATCAATAATGCTCACGCATCTTACATAACAACATTCTTCCTACAAGCTCCAAATTTAGATCTGCCATGTTTCTGATTTCAACCAAATACCCAATGATGATCACCTTTCAACCAAATCTTCCAATGATTTCAACAAATACCCAACGATGTTTACAAATGTACAGACCAAAATCACCACCATGAGCAAGTCTAATAGAGGGAGGGTAGAGCAGGCACCCTTGAGATTTAAAATTTACTATTATGTACCGCTGCTATTCTTTTTAACTAGGACTAACACTCTTAAGCAGAATATTGAAAAGAACATCCCGCCAGATATACATGCATGGAAATCTTGCACTTAAGAAAGTAATCCATCCAAATGTAATTCAACCTTACCCTTTCAAGCCAGTTATCTTGAGATCAAAGCCAATTTGGTTTATGCATATTCCTAACATATTTGCTAAACACTTTCAAATCGAACTCAAAACGAATTATACAAAAGGGCCAAAACCATGAGGAAATGCACCATTAGAGTTAGAGAACAGTATATCTTACACAAAAATGTACAACTACAATGATGAACAGGTGTTTTATACAACAAACCAATCCTCAAACAGAGTTGTAGAAACGATGTATAGGGAGTGTAAAATTGATCCTTTTACAACACTATTCTGAAATCATTTACATTTATGAGATGAAAACTAATTATCTATTTTGAGCAGAGAATTAAGAGATGTACTATTAAATCGCTGGGCAAGGCCTCTGATGACAAGAACGATAACATCTCGCAAATGCCGTGTCTGCACCATCAAATCCACTTCATTCTCACTGTCTACAACAATTTTGAGTCTATGCTGATCATTTCTGAATAGCTCCAACCTGCAAAACAAGAATTCTCAACTTGATATAACTTATTTTACTCACTTCTTTTCTTTTTCATTCTTTTAGCATAAACAGAGATTATATTAATTTCTGTCATGCCAAAGTCAGACCAATAGGCAACCCGTACAAGGGTTGCAAATGTCTAGACAGCTCATATTTGCATATATTAATATAAGAGGCCTTGTCAGTCATCATCAATTTAAAGACTATATAAATATTAGTATCAATGAGAAACAGCATATATGCATTATTCGAAGTAGAATCAGCTTTGTTGTCTCCTTAGTGTGAAAAAACATTAAAGCCAGAATGAAAGACATGATTATTCCAATCCAACAATTGGAGAGGTAAGAAATACCTTCCAAAATACAAGATTTTATATCTTTTTCTCATTTTCTTACTGAAATGTTTTATTTTTATCTTTTATTTCTTTATGTAGATCACAAAATTAGTAAAAGTGCACATATTCCAACATTTAAACTCTAAAAGATATTATATATGAGAAGAAAACCTCTGGGAGTGTTTGGGTGCAAACATAATCATTTTGCCATCTGCCAGCATTAATACATGAGAGGTGTGAAAATTCACGTTTACAAGAACTCACGGGTAGGTATACAAATGTCAAATGCCGGCCAATATCTTCTTTCATTAGTGTATACTCATTTGTACCAGTTGATACCAATACAGGTACTCTGCAGAAGAAAGGGAGAAAAGAGGATTGCAACCCAATCGGTTAAGAAAACCATGTTGCAACAAACTTTCATTAACATCTCATGCATATTCTGAGGCCTGCACTAACAGTGTTACACTGACACCCATTTTTCAGTCTAACAGATGTCAGACCAGCTTGAGGTTATAATGCCCAATACAATATTGTCTATCTGAATTCCATTCTTCAACTTCATACTAGAGAGTGCTCCTACATGGAAAGAGACTCATATTTACAATAGTTCATGAAGTTAGTGAAATTTTTTCGTCAAAATGGTATCAATTACAGCTCACATAATTAGAACTCTAAGTCACTCTGAATTTCAAGAAGTACTGCCTCCACACATCAAGTATAAGGTAATAGTTACAGTGAAATTCATTTAGACGTAATCAGGTTACTAGCGCATGCATTGTTAGAAGTAATTGACATGGTTGGAACTTTGATGGTTGCTTAGCATAAACTTTTAAGGTTGAAGTGATATGCAGCAGCTGAAAGCTAAATGCATACATGGTTAGTAAGTTGAGGAGGCAAAGACACGGATAATGTCTCATCACAATATTAGTATAATATTCCTTTTGGCCAGCCTCATATTACAAAATGCCAAAAAGAGGGTAGCAAAGGAAAGGAAATTAATTTTCCTTTGAACGATTATGACCATCAGTTCTAGTTTCATGAGATTATAAACCAACCATTAACAAGATTATCAAGAAGCAGGACCAATCATCAGCTATTTTTGTTCATCCGCATCAGGAATGAAAAAAGAAGCATAGAAAAGACAAATATACTAACCCAATATCCTTATCCTCTCGTAACCACTCATACTTGCTGGGACCTTCTCTTCCTCCAAAGTACTGTCCAATTCCTTTGATCATATTTCCCTCCACCACATCTCCAATTATTTGCACATTGCTCACTGATGGAGGAGCTGAAAATAGGAAATTAATAAATCAAATGACATGAAGCAAAAGAAATATGTAGTTATACTCAATGCCCAAGGTAGAAGCAGAAAGAAGACTATTTAGGCCTTTGTACAAGTGAAGCATATGCTTAATGTTTAAGCCTGTTTCATGTCAAATTGGTATCACATGCCAATGTCTACCTAATTTCTTGTCCATCTTAGTTACTTGACTGCTTCTATCATCAAAAGTTGGATTTTTAACAATATCAAAACATCATCTCCAATGTTAGACAGCCTGATAATGACAAAGTTTTCGTATGTCAACTACATAAGATAACAAAGAAAAAGGAAAAACAAACACTTAAAGCTTCCCATCAGCCAAATTTGTAGAAGAAAGTTGGAGGTGAACAGATATAAGCAAGATATAGTAAAACTTCATTGAGTTCTGTGTGAATGACAGAAATCCACCAAACATAGTATAAGTGAAATTGATGACTCGAAGAATTTGACTCCTACTTGATAACTGTGTAAGTTACAAAATGAAAGGTATGATACTGGTTTTTGCTAGCAAGCTGATGATCATTTGTCTTCAACAGCCAATCTGATTATGTTGAGATCTAGAATATCTTTTTCTATGTATATCCCATGATTTCTGCTATATCCCATGATTTCTGCTCTATTTTAGGATAGAATAATTTACTCCTAATGTATTTTAGGATAGAATAAATTAGCTCCTAATTTTTAGGAAATTACAGATTTCATGGAATTGACAAAAGTCAAATTCCATTTGTATAAATGTTGTACAGAGTCTGGAACAAAAGATATGACAGAACAATTCAGTTCTTCTTTTTGTTCATGGTATCAGAGCTTTTGCTCTTGGGACCTCTTCTTGTCAGCCTTCATTGCTGAGAACTTTCCTTTTTTTCAAGTCTTATTGCCAAGTGCAATTTCCAGCCTTCATTGCTGATTTTTTCCATTAGGCCTTCATTGCCAATTTTTCTTTGAAACCTCCACCATGTCTGAAACTGAAACATCAGAAATCCACTCCAATACCAAATCAGAGGAGACCTCAAATATTCCACAAACAGGGGATTTGCAGAGTATCCAGGCAGCCTACAGGCTCAACGGGAAAAACTATTTGAAGTGGTCACAATTTGTTCAAACATTTCTCAAAGGAAAGGGCAAAATCAGCCACTTGCTTGGAACTGGACCGAAAAAGGGAGATCCTAAATTCGCTGCTTGGGATGAAGAGGATTCTATGGTCATGTCATGGCTGTGGAATTCCATGTTACCTGAAATAAGCGATACTTGCATGTTCCTACCAACAGCTCAAGATATATGGACTACTATTCGACAGACCTATTCAAAGGCAGGAGATGCTGCCCTAATCTATGAGATCAAAACAAAGATCTCAGCCACTAAACAGGGCAACCTTTCTGTTACTCAATATGCCAACCTTCTGCAAAATCTATGGCAGGAACTGGACCAATATCGGTGTGTTCAGATGGTGTGTAGTGAAGATGCAGCCACCTTGAAAAGCTTTATCGAAAAGGATAGAGTTTATGACTTCCTTGCAGGTCTGAATGTGGAATTTGATCAGGTCAGAATCCAGATATTGGGGAAGGAAAGATTATCATCTCTGAATGAGACAATATCATTGATTCGAGCTGAAGAGAACAGGCGAGAAGTCATGTTAGAGCCTAAAACATTAGAAGGCTCTGCAATGATTTCTACAAAGTCAAATAAAGACACAATTTGGTGCACGTACTGCAAAAAATCAAGCCATACGCGAGATGATTGCTTCAAACTCCATGGGAAGGAACAAGTCCTTAGTCGTAAAGGAGGATTCAAAGGGCGAAAAGCCCACTTAACTGCTGGAGAAGACCAAACACAAGAAAAATCCAACCAGGCTGGTATGGGAGAATTCAAGAAAGAAGAAATCGAAAAGCTAAGAAACCTCCTAAATTCCCTTGAAAAGTCCTCTAGTACGTGTTCATTGGCTCAATCAGGTAAGTACCTTAACTCTTATGCTTTAAGTGCCTCAAGCATGTCTTCTCTAGGCTCTTGGGTCATCGACTCAGGAGCTACTGATCATATGACTCACAGCCCAATCAGATTTAGAACATACAACCCATGTCCTGGAAATAGAAAAATTACTGTTGCGGATGGATCTCCTATAACTGTTGCAGGCCAAGGGACAGTAAATCTATCAAATTCTTTGTCCCTAAATAATGTGTTGCATGTCCCAAAATTGTCCTCCAATCTCATATCCATCCATCAAATTACCAAAGATCTGAACTGTAGAGTAATTTTCTATACTACTCACTGTGTTTTTCAGGATTTGGTTACGGGGAGGACGATTGGACTTGCTAAGGTGAATGATGGGCTTTATTACCTTGAGGAGATGAGTGGCAACAAGAAGAACAAAAATCAGTTATCCCTCACCTGCTCCTCAAATAATAAATCTGAAATTTGGCTTCATCATTTCCGTCTTGGTCATCCATCTTTTATTCTACTTAAAAGCATGTTTCCTTCACTTTTCAAGAATGAAGATGTTAGTAGTTTTCATTGTGATACATGTGAAATTGCTAAACATCATAGACTATCATTTCCATTGAGTAATACAAGATCTACGAGACCTTTCTCTTTGATACATACTGATATTTGGGGGCCTTGTAGAATTTCTAGTATTTCTGGAGCAAAATGGTTTGTCACATTCATTGATGATTGTACTAGAACTACTTGGTTATTTCTTATGAAAGAAAAATCAGAAGTAAGCAGTATTTTTCCAATGTTTCATAAAATGATTTGTACACAATTTGGAAGTCTGATTAAAAGAGTAAGATCTGATAATGCAAGAGACTATTTTAATCAAATTCTCTCATCTTTTTTCCAAAAAGAGGGTATAATACATGAGTCATCTTGTGTAGATACACCCCAACAAAATGGGATTGCTGAACGAAAAAATAGACATTTACTCAATGTGACTCGAGCAATTTTGTTTCAACATAAAGTTCCAAAAACTTTTTGGGGGGAGGCTGTTTTAACTGCTGCACATTTGATAAATAGAGTACCTTCAAAAGTACTAAATAATCAAAGTCCCATTGCTGCTCTTTCTGTTTTTTACCCTGATTTTAATGTCTCTTGCACATTGTCACCAAAAGTGTTTGGTTGTATTGCTTTTGTACATGTTCATGCACACCAAAGAGGGAAACTTGATCCAAGAGCTTTAAAATGTATTTTTGTGGGATACTCAAACACAAAGAAAGGATATAAGTGTTATCATCCTCCTTCAAAAAAAATTTTTACCTCCATGGATGTCACATTTGTTGAAAATGAACCTTATTCTCAAAGTAACAATCCTCATCCCCAGGGGGAGAGTTCTTGGGAAGATAAGGAATTTCTCCTTGATCTTCAAAGTCCTACACTAAACTTAAAGTCTTTCAAGCCTGACCATACACCAAATTCTAAAGGAGAACATACTAGCAGTGAACCTGAACCTGAATTTGAAGTTGAACATGCCAGTAAAGAAATTGAACCTGATCTTGCAGCTGAGGGAAAATCTGGTTTAAATCCAACTACACCACTCAAGGTCTACTCAAGGAAGAAAGTTCATATTTCTGAACCTGTGCAAATCCAAGAATCTGAACCACAATCAGGTACTGAAAATTCTGTTCCTTTGTGTGTTCAATCTGACTCTGCTCCTTGTGAATTTATTGATTTAGACCTGCCTATTGCTGTTCGAAAAGGAACACGAGAATGCACTAAGCACCCAATCTCAAATTTCGTGTCTTTCCATAGACTCTCTCCACAACATAAAACTTTCCTTACCACCATCAACTCCATTTCAATCCCACAAACACTACAAGAGGCACTTAGAAATAAGAACTGGTTACATGCTATGAAAGAGGAAATGAATGCCCTAGAGAGAAATAAGACTTGGGAAATTGTAAACCTGCCCAAAGGAAAGAAAACAGTGGGGTGTAAATGGGTGTTTACTTTGAAATATAGAGCTGATGGTTCATTAGAAAGGCATAAAGCTCGGTTGGTTGCAAAAGGATATACACAGACATATGGGATAGATTACCAAGAGACCTTTGCACCCGTTGCAAAAATGAATACTGTGCGTGTTCTTTTGTCTTTAGCCGCTAACTTTGGTTGGTGTTTACAGCAATTTGATGTTAAGAATGCATTCTTACATGGGGATTTAGAAGAAGAGGTGTACATGGAACCCCCACCGGGTTTCAATGAAATGTTTTTTAAAAAGAAAGTGTGCAGGTTAAAGAAAGCATTATATGGATTAAAACAATCGCCAAGGGCTTGGTTCGGAAGATTTACTAAAGTGATGCTAGCAATGCAATACAAACAAAGTCAAGGAGATCATACTTTGTTCATAAAATATTCAAAAGGAGGTGTTACAGCTCTACTTGTATATGTAGATGACATCATCATTACCGGGGATGATCCAATTGAAAGAGAAACACTCAAAAAGTGCTTAGCAAAGGAGTTTGAAATTAAAGAACTAGGGAGGCTGAAGTATTTTTTAGGCATTGAGGTGGCATACTCAAGTAAAGGCATCTTTGTTTCCCAACAAAAGTATGTCTTAGACTTGCTTAAAGAAACAGGCAATCTTGGATGCAAGGCAGCAAGTACACCCATTGAGCCTAACTTGAGATTGAATGAAGAGAAGGATGATAGCACAGTAGATAAGGGAAGATATCAGCGGTTGGTTGGGAAACTGATATACTTGTCCCATACAAGGCCGGACATAGCATTTGCTGTAAGTGTAGTAAGCCAATTTATGCATGATCCAAGAGAGAAACACTTGCAGGCTGTCAATAGAATTCTATCCTACCTCAAAGGGACACCAGGTAGAGGAATTTTGTTCAAGAAAAATGAAGGATTGCTCATAGAGGCATATACTGATGCTGATTATGCAGGTTCTGTTGTAGATCGTAGATCAACTTCAGGATATTGTACATTTCTTGGTGGGAACCTAGTGACATGGCGGAGTAAGAAGCAATCGGTTGTTGCAAGATCAAGTGCGGAAGCAGAGTTTAGAGCTATGGCTCATGGAGTTTGTGAATTGCTATGGCTCAAAATAATACTTGATGATCTTAAAATCAAGTGGGAAGGACCTATGAAACTCTATTGCGACAACAAGTCTGCCATCAACATTGCACACAATCCAGTGCAACATGATCGCACAAAGCACATCGAAGTTGATAGACATTTTATTAAAGAAAAGCTGGACAGTGGCATGATTTGCACTCCATATGTAGCATCAAATAATCAATTGGCAGATGTCTTAACTAAGGGAATGCCAACTTCCAACTTTGAAGACATTACATGCAAGATGGGAATGGAAAATATCTATTCACCATCTTGAGGGGGAGTGTTGAGATCTAGAATATCTTTTTCTATGTATATCCCATGATTTCTGCTATATCCCATGATTTCTGCTCTAATTTAGGATAGAATAATTTACTCCTAATGTATTTTAGGATAGAATAAATTAGCTCCTAATTTTTAGGAAATTACAGATTTCATGGAATTGACAAAAGTCAAATTCCATTTGTATAAATGTTGTACAGAGTCTGGAACAAAAGATATGACAGAACAATTCAGTTCTTCTTTTTGTTCAGTATTGTTAAGGTACAAAACCTTTAGGATGTTTGGTGCCCAACAAGCAGTTGGATTAACAGTACAACATCAAAGATGATTAATGTGAAACATGTTAAATGGCAGTTGGATGCCTGTTCAAGCATTATGAATAATTAAAGCGGTTATGCTACACCAAATCACCTCACAGCAGTACCAGAGTGGAGTTGGAAGAATAAATTTTATTCTAGTTTGCCCACCTTAAAATGACTAACAAATAATTTGCTTTTGCAGACAAGAAGAAACAAAGAAAGAGAGTAAGACAAAGAGATGTTTTGACCTGCTTTTACATGATCCGTTATTGCATACTGAGGTTCCCCTTTAGCACCTTCTTCAGTAACAGGAGTATACATATAAACCAAACAAGACTCAACATCATCAAGAGTCAAACAATATTCCTCGCCTTCTGCACCAACAATTACCACAGGACTGCTATTCCATCTTCTTCTCAACCAACTAAACAACATGAAGCAATAAGTTAGACTCGTTCCCATACTCAGCAAGGAAACTGTATCTTTCAGACAGTAGACAATCTACATAACAAGAGTATTTTTTTACAAGAACTTGAGAAATCTTACCTAGAAACTCCCTTTCCTGGAGTCCCACCACACCAGGCAACTTCAGCATATCCCCTAATAGTGTTTCCTTCAACAAGATCTCCCTGGATGGCAGTCTTTAAAACCTTTGGATGCCTAGTTCCTTCACAGCAAATCAAAAGCATAATCAAGTTTAATGAATAAAAAGCACACTTAAACTAACAGTTTTGTAATAAGAAGTATTCTAATACTAAACATTTTTCACAGCATCTCTAAAAACCTCTAGACAAGAGCTTCCATATCGGCTCTAACACAATGGACTAAAGCAAAGAACTGAAGATACCACGGCAAAAACCAATGACCTTGTCAAAACTAAGCATAATTTCCTGTTTGAATTTGTCATGGAATATTATAGGTCAAGTAATGGGCTCCTATAATCAAGCTTTTGACACATTCTCTCATGTTCAGGACCACTGTATCAACTGGTCCTATGACAACTGGTCTCAGAGACTGCTTTCACATGTCATCAGTAATCATTTTTAACCCAAAATCCTGATTATACTGTCTTCTCCCCACTTATTTACATCTGACTTTCCAGGTTGTCAACCAAATGAAACATATAGAAACAAGGAGAAATGCCACAAATAAAAATGGCTAAAGGGATAGAGCTGAATACAATATTCTCTATTGAATGTATATTAAGAAGTAGGCTAGATATAGAAGACTTGAAATTCATAATTAGACTCAGACTTTGATACTGTTGTCTTAAACCCATAAATGATCCTATTGCAACTTGTGAAGTAGCAGCAATCAAACGAACTTACGAGAACATGAATGACGTATTCAAGTGGTAAATTCAACAAACTAAGTGGAAAATGTATCGGAATACATTGCAGTGTTTTGAGGATGGCCAAGTTTTAATAGATATTAGAAAGATCAAAAATTCTCATGACTAGAAAAGTCTTTACAACTTATAAATTAGGAAATTTTCAGTAGCAAAAGTAAGCAGAAATCCTTATACAAGCAGCTTCAAACAAATCGAACTAAATCCAAGGATAGAAAACATTATGCTGAATTTACTGTTTATATTGCAAAGACATAGATGTGATGTTTTGTGGAATTACTCAACAGTTGCAAGTAAGAAGGATCCCCTTACAAAAATGTCGCTAATTGTAATATTTCGAGTGCATAATGCTCTATTTTTTCAAGTTCAAAAGAGATTTTTCATAGTGCAAAATCATTTGACTGAAACTAAACTGTAGACACAAGATTCTGTATAAAAAAGAGCCTAATTTCTTATTCATCAAATAATATTATGGGAGTCCAGATTCATAACTTCTCAGCTTGATGATAAAGAAGTTCAAAATGACACCCAAAAAAAGGATCCATAAATGGAAGGAAATGAATCCCAACTTAATCGAATTACAGATCAACACCTTAAAGCAAACATAAAGTAAACACAAGTATGAATCTATCAGCAATTCTTCATCTTTATTCTCCGTTTGAAAGTTCAGGATATTTTAAGTTGCTTGGCTCACCTTAATTCCTAGAACCCAACTATAGGAGGTTGATAACAGAAGAATTAAGTTCTTTCAGACATGTCCTAGATTAGCTTTGACAACAATGAGAGAGAACAAATTTCTCCCCATCCATGAAATTAATTATGCAAAACCCGACGGTACTAACACCTGGAAACTAAACAACAAACCTAACAAAGCAGAATTTGGCGAGGGAGTCACTTTAATCAATTTTAGTTCAACAACAGAGTCTGCCTAAAGCACATCACTCAGCACAAAATATCACATATCTTGAACAATCCCTACTTTTAATGTCTAAATATCATATTCTGAATTTCTCTTAGTCGGTCTTATTTTAGAAAAAATTCCACTACATTCTATTTCTACTGAAACTCAATGTATCTACCAAACCATAGACTTTTCCTTGCATATGGATATTAAGATGCATAGATAAATATAGCTCACATAGTTGGTGTCCATTTCAGAACATGGCTACTACTTCACTATGCTATTGGACTGACACCAAAAATAAAAGAGTTGATCTAAGGAAAATGCAGCTTTGGAAACTAAAGGAACTGAAACTTCACAAGAAATTCCACTTGACTGGACCTCAAAAATGGGGAAGACTAAGACTTCAGACGCTAGACTTGAGAAAGGGATGCATGGGCGCACAAAATGAAAAACAGACTGATTTCACAACAAATAACTCCACATTACGGTAAAACAAGTCAAATGAGTGAACAATAAGACCATAGACTATTATGGAACAATCAGACGATTATTATGGATGTTAAAGGAAGAAAAATACCAGGAGAAACTGGGAAAGATATTGCAAAAATTGAGGGGTATTCAGTGTCTGCCAAGATAGGTGTACACTCCACCTTCAGAATTCTATTGACCTCCTCACGTTTTGGCCAATATACCTGACATCGCAAAAAAAAAGGATAAGAGATGTTCAGAAATTTAAAACCCTCAAACAACTTTCTACCTTTTCAGTTGCACCAGGAATTGCTCTGAAGTTTGATGGAGTCTTGTCTCCTATAAACCACTGGTATTTTAAGAATAATTCTGCATCAGTACTTGCACATTCATCTTTGACAAAATCAAAGTTACAGCAGCAGGGATCTTCTTCAAATGGTTGCTCAACTGAGGCTCCTCTTAACAGGAATCCTGGTGGAAGTTGTTCTTTCCATTGTTCAAGCAAAAATCGAAATGCTGAATCTGGAGATAACGCAGAAAAATTAGGAGAAACAAAACAAAAATGATGAAGATCAAACATAATAAGAGCCATAGTTTCCCTTATCCTTCAGACTCACCAACAGCTTGGTCTGGACGGCAAAATTCCCAACCACCTCTAATGCACACAGCTGTATGAGCAGGATAGCGTTTTGCAAGCACAACTTCCTCACGTGAAAGATCTATAAAAGAGTTCCACGACCAAGTAAGCCAAAATTTAAGGATGCAATGAGACAATATTCAAAAAAATTGATCACATTTCATACAGAAGAACAAATAAAAGATCAGCAACAGGACAAAAGACTAAGACAGAATAAGGTGGACATTTTAATTTGGTGTTGAACATTTCCTTGAATGAGGTTGAGCCGAAGCAGGGGCAAACATTAAATGGAGGGTGACAAGGAAAAACAAAGATAGAGTATATCTCCTGAAAAAGTGACTTTCAGTCGAGGGCCCATTACGGAGGAAACAAGGAAATGCAATGACAGAGGTGATTATCTGTAAACAGTTAACCATCAAACATAACATGCATCTAGGAGCAAAAGGCAGATTCCGACAGCTAACCTAGAAGAAAAAGAAAAAGTGAAGGCGCATGTATGCGTGCCTTGGTAAGTGTGTCTGTGACTGAGAAAGAGAGAAATATAAAAATAGAGAGGGAATAACAAGACAAATGGCTCAAAAAGCATAGCTTACCTCTGTCATTGAACTTTTTCAATGTTGGACCAACAAGCAAAACAGAAGCTGCTTCTAGATGAGGCATCTTAAGAATAGGATTCTCCTCCACTCGCAAATGCTACAGAGTTACAGAAAATGGAAAATATCAGTCATATATGAGCATATCAGAGAACATCTGCAAAGCTCAAAGAAAAATACTAGAAGAAAATAGTCAATAAAAATATCAGCAAAATTACTAGAAGAAAATAGTCCATAGAAATATTATTAAAAAAGGCCTTAAAATATCTACTCACATCATCATATATATGCATAGATATATCTGTATAAGATTTAATATTTATGTAAATATACTGCAAATCATATTTGACAAGGAACAATTTGAAATTCCCCCACCAGTTCATAAAAATCTCATTTACACAATTTTCTTATTTTAATACAGTCATGTCAGCAAAAATAAATTGTTAAGCCAACCAGTATCATGGTGATTTTAAAGGAACTGACGAGTCTAACTAATTAGTGTTTCTGTTCGGTGGTCAGAAGATGAATGACAAAATGCATAGAGATGCCCAGAATGGCCATTATCTCATAAAGCTGCAACCCTAGGTCATTGTCTGCTGTGTTTGAAAGACTTTACAGGTAAAACACTAAAATTGCAGCATTCCAGTGCACAACGCTGCATGAAACAAAGTAAATGATGAAAACTGATGTGTAGAACTGAAGAGGGAAGAAGAAATTTTAAGAGAAAAATATTACATCTCTTGGAGAATAAGACATATCAGCAGAGAAGAGAGATGAGAAATGCTATGGTTCGAGATCCCCATAAAGTCCGAACCGAGCTTTTTGATTCTTGTGTGAATGAAGAGGGAAAAAGGATACAAATTCAGAATTCTTTTCCACTGTCAATAACGTAAAAGGCGGCACTTAACATTTCTTTCCTACATAAAATTTTCTTCTTTCCCAGTCAACTTCAATTAGAAAAAAACAAGTTTATTTGTTTCTTTCTAATTTCGAGTAAAAATTAAGTTTCTATGTTGTTCCCTTTTCTGTGTAGAACTTGTAAACAGGAAAAATACATCATCTCTCCTTTTTCTCATCCTCTTACAGGTAAAGTTTCACTCTCTTGTCCTCAACCACAGCGCGTAATGCACAGCAAGCTTCCCTTTTACTTATGTTTCACAAATATAAATTGTTATTATAAGCAATCTAAATAATATAAAGCATAAGGAAAAAAGACTACATAACATGGTGATTGTCATCTCAACGGGCTAGTTTGAGGCCTATCAATAGGGACCAAAACAGATATGGTCGCTTTTATTTTCTTCAAATAAATGCTATCTAATGCCTAATAAACTGAAATCACAATGGTTAAAAAAATTCAGATAAAAAAGACACCAAATCAAATGTACTAAACTGACCTCAAGGACTGGTAAATGTGGGAAGCCCTTCAACGTTGATATTTTGTTTTTACTGGCAGCTAATACCTGCATAGATGGGAAGTAACACATAAAGTACCACAATAAATCTTCACCTTGTTTCTTTTTCTTTTCTTTTCTATATTTTTTTTTTAGGTAGCATCACCTTGTTAATGAACTAACAAACCTGTAGCCGAGGTTGGCTTGCCATAGCCAGAGACTTTAATTTGTTTTGAGCAATAGAAAGAAACTGAAAAAAAAGGAGAGGAGTAAACAACAAATAACAGATCAGAAGCCATGTAAACATGTACAGAAGTAAAAAACTTGATGAAGGATGGATAAAATGGGAAACAAGATTGGGGCTCACCTCCAAATTAGGAAGCTCAGGGAGACTAACTAATGATGTAATCTGGTTCCCAGCAAGATACAGTTGCTACAAGAAAAGAATATAATAGAACCTTATAGCAAGAGAAAAGCCTATCACAGCCAATAGCAAGTGCATCTAATCTGCAAGAAAATGTATACCTGTAGCACTTTGCAATTCTCAAGTGGTTCAAAACCAGGCCCTTTGAAATCATTGAAGCTCAAATCAAGAACCTAAATATCCCACAGAATAACTAGTGAGAAGCTTATTTTCAATGAAGAACTGTAATAACTTGTAGACCAACATATAAGCTAAAGAAAGTCTGAATTCCAATATAAATTACTTCTATTACAGCATGCATCAAAAAGAATGACAGGTGAAAAGACAGTTTTTTAACAAACCTTTACTCGCTTCAGTATTTTGATGCCATCCAACGTAGACAAGAGATTGTCCCGGAGATAAACAAACTGCCCAACAGGAGAATCAGTTAAAAGAGTAACTCGTATAAACAAAAACTGCACTTCTGGTGCAATCAAAAAGTTGAATGAATGTTAGTCTTTGCTTCTTTAATTATGAATGGCTTGTTTACAGCACGGAGAATACCATCATATTCATAACAATAAAAAATATTATATCTTTTCCTGTGGATAGTCTTGACTTTAATAGCCTCAGCTGAAATGTTGGTACATGTGGGTCATTATAGATAAGAGATAGCATCTGTAAACTGAACAAAAAAAAAGCACAGAAGTTTAATACATCAATATCCACGTAATCTACCTTTATTATCATTTTTTTTTAGAGGTCCTATCAAACCCACACATACCAGTATTTCAGATGATGCAATAAAAAACCAGATTTGCCTATAGAATCTGGCATTTCAAGGATAGTGTAATTCCTCTTAGTGGCTTGAACTAATGAAGTACAATTTACAATGCAGAGCCAGAATTTTTGTAGGATGTTCTTCAAGTTTCATGAATTTCTTAGAAAAAACTCTCCGACAACATAAAGAAAGTACTTGTCAGCAATCTATGCTTCATTATTAATTCCTGATAGCATGAGAACAATTGTAGTTCCTTATGTCTGTTTCAGTCTCCTTAGCAACAGCAAACAGTGATCACATACAAATGAAAGAGGACAAGGAGCCTTGCAAAATAAAGCAGTCTAAGAAGAACAACATACCTCCAAACTTGAGGACAAGTTCAGCCCACTGCTGTTCAGACTACGTATTTTGTGGCCTCTAAGATCCAATCTCTTGATGGAAAAAGAATTTGAATAAGACGTAGAAAATAGAGAAACTTGGAGAGATAGGGAGGGGGAGAATTTTCAAAAGGTTTTCAGACAAATAACCTGTTAAATAGCAATCAAAGAAACATAAACATGAAGAATAATAAGGTTTAGTAATAACAAGATAAAATGATGGGACAGATACGAAAGGAAAGAAATCATAGAGGGAAATTGCAGACATAATACAGCAACCATGCCACTAGTAAATTTCATGCCTGGTCACTTAAAATGCATGAAAAACAGAGAACATGCTAAGGAATACCACTCACTGGAACATGGGCTTTACCCTTTTACCACCCAGACAATTGGAGGAAAAAAATAGAACTCTTTGCATCTCTTCAAGTTGTGCTATGCTTAGTGAACTTAGTAATACATTGGTAGAACTTAAAGAGTATCAAATATTTCTAGTAATTGCAAAGACCATTAGAAATCAATCCTAAAGTTGACTGCAAGCAAAAGGAAATAATGTTTGCCAAAGCAAATGGTGAAAAACCAACGAAATAATCCTATACAATCTATAACCCAAAGGTTTCTACCCATTTTATATACGAGTGCAGTGAAGACAATTATGGCACAAGGATGTGCATTGTTGTATCATGCATGAGAAGGTTTCAAAGGTTAAGCCCGTGGCACCATATTTCTTTTACTGAATTTTGTAAAATATTAATAAAATTTTTCATCTAATGGTAAGGAAATGCAAAAAAAGTAAGCATACCACATCATCACCAGCTTTGTTTTCCACTTGAGGAAGCATAATAAGCCGTGAATCTCGACTTTCAGGAGTCCCGGCCTTCTTGCGACTAGACAAATTCGAACTCTTATCAAATGATGTTGAAAATGACCCACCTTTAGATCCAGTTGTTGGCGTCCGAACAGTTGGAGAAGAGATTTTTCCAACCGCTTTTCTAACCACAGAGCTGCTGCCAGTACTATCAAGTGATGTAGAAGCAACCTTCTTAGTGGATGAAACTGAAGGCAGAGATGGCCTGACAGGAGTTTTTTTTAGATATTCATGCTTGCTTGCATCAGAAGTTGATGAGCTTCTTGGACTTCTAGTAACAGTGGATACAGGAACTGACTTTCTAATATCTGAAATGCTGGTCCTATTGGTAGCTCCAGTACCAACAGAAGGCAATGAGCTCCTCCGAATCTCTGGAAGGGACCGCCTTACTGTTTCTGAGACCGAAGAACTAGTCTTCCTACCAGCCACTGAAGAAACACCACCATCCTGCCGTTTTGTCAGCGATGATATTGGTTGTTTTTCAGCTAAACCACCAGTGCTATTCCTCCTAACAACTGGCACAGAACCCAAGCTCCGTGTCACACTACTTATAGTTGGCCTAGTCAAAGTTGATCTTATTGCAGTTGTTGAATTAGCAACTGAACCATTCTTGACTTCAGTCTTCCTTTTTGCTATCCCAATACGACCAGTGCCCTTTGGCAGTGTTGAAGCATTTGGTTTGGCACATTTTGACGCTCTTTTAACACTCTCAGCAGATGATGGATTCACAGACTCTGATTCTTGAGACACTTCCTCAAAATTATCCACCGACAATGACTTCTCTATCTCAGAATTTAGCGACTTCTCCACTGAATCATCAGTAGATCGAACTAATGGCTCCTCCATTAGTGTTCACAGGATTCAAGCCCGAGGAGCCTCCAAAACCAAGTTATCCAATCCAATCTAGTAAAAGAAAAATTAACCAAACACATAAACTACATTCTAGAACTCCATCTTTCTATAAATTTCCAAGAAATTCTACATTTACCCGACAAAAGAAGAAGAAGAAGAAGCACACAAACCTTGAATTTACTTATATTAAGTGAAACTGCACCAAATTCTCTACTGAATTTCACTTGCAGCAGGTAAGTTATACAAAATTAGACTAAAACTCTAGTCTCCTCACTTTTCTTTTACAAAATCCCATCTTTTTGAGCATCTATTCACATTAAAATGGAAAAGCGACTGGCTGAAAAAATAAAAACAGCAGCAAATTTGTTACTTTACTCGAAACAACAACAGTTCATGGGGAAATGAATGCATACACCGACAGAAAAGGGACCCCCTTAGATCTATCACAAAATGCAGCTTCTTTTACTAAAATTCAACCTCTTCAGCCAAATTCTTGAGAGCCCCAGAAATCTAAAACAACCACAGAAAAGGACTTATTGATACAGCAAAATGGGTTAAAAAGACGCGGGTTTTTACATACCAAAAATGCAGAACAGATCTGATGCAGTGGTAAGCAAGAAGCTCAAGAAAAAGCTGCAGTTCAACTACATTTGGACCATTTTTACTTACTTTTCTTGAAGGGCTTCACTGTTTGAAGCAGAGAACAAGAAACATTTTAATAAAGGGAAACAAAACAGTCCCACTCTCGTAGAATCCACACTCCTATATCGTACTTTACGAAAGCGTGGCTTGAAAAAGAAAGGTGAGGGCAGTATAAAAGTAACTGCTGATATTTAATCCTCTGATTCTCTCTCTTCTTTTTTAATAATTTATTTAATCTCCATAATGGCAGTAGTGTACTTCTACACCTTGCTTGGATCGTCCCCTCTTACCTGAATTGCCATTTTCTGGTGAAAATTATTATTGGTTGCCCATAAGTATTTTTTTTCAACACATTTCAACACATCATATCCCAAAAAAAGGTGTTATAGTAATATCTTTTCCAAAAACTCCTCAAAAATGACAATCCCACCGAGGTCTTAAATAGCCAGTTTACACGAGGATTATCAAGATAACATTTATGGAGCAAGAATTATTCAAGAGGACATGTTAGATGTGCATTAGATAACATTTGGGTTAAATTTTGTGTTAATTATTATAGTACTTCCAAATTAAATCTAAATTAGATTATATAGTTTTAGTGCAAACATAAATTCGTAATTTTCTTGAACATTTATTGTGAGCAGTTCATGTAATTTTCTATTAATTATTAGGTGATAGTTATTATTATCGGCACGGATGTGAAGCTTTTGTGTGTTAATTATTTTGGTGGGCCACTAAACCTTCAATTATTATTTGAAATATTCTTTAATATTCAAGCTCATATTCTCAAGAAACATCCAAGATAATGGACAAATTTGCAAGCCAAATAAAAAGTGAACGCTTTGAACCTTTGATATTTAATGAATATTATTGCATAATCTTTCTAACTCAAAAATTAAAAGTACTTAGGAGTGGAATAGAGCAAGAGAATGGATATTTGGGGTACTAGTATGGGGGACAAAAGTCATGGATGGTACGACATTTTTGCATTATAGTATGACTTTTGTTACCTGATGTGTCAGAGAAGTGTAACCACCGGTCCAGTGTGCATTTTTTGCTTTTTATATTTGAGGAAAGAAATGAATGGGATGATAGAGGATTTGTTTTGTTGTGAATCTTTTGGAATTTCGGATTTGGATTATTATTTGGGAGAGCGAGTGGGCGGAAAAAGGAGGGTGGGAAAAGGACAATTCCTGGGTGGTGGTTGAATTTGAAATCAAATTTAAAACCATAATATATTGGATGGAAATTTGACTAAGGAGAGAAACGGGTAAGACCGTATTAAGAAGTCTTTTTTTTTTTTTTTGGTTAATAGTCACTTATTTACTTACACCAACTCCTACTTTCACTTCAGCCTATTCTATAGAATTGAGTCTAACTGGACCTACAGAAAAATCGACAGGAACTAAGGCCCTGTTTGGAATGTGAGTTTTTTTGGAGTTTGTTTAAAACTTTACTGTAACTTACTGTAGAAGATTTTTAAAAATTTTTTGAAATGTGTAGATTTTTTAATATTTTAAAGTGTATAGTTTAAAAATTTTGACAAATTTTTTGAGGTTATTGTAGTTAAAGTTTTTAAAAAACTCGTAGCAGACAAACTTGACAAATAACCTGTTTGGAACCTGAGTTTTTTGGGAATTTGTCTAAAATTTTACTGTAGTGCACTGTAGAAGTTTTTGAAAAAATTTTGTAAAAGTTTTTGTAAGGTGAATTTTTTTTTCCTTTTCTTTTTTTTCTTTCTTTCTTTCTTTTTTTTTCCCTTTCTTTTTCTTTTATTCCTTTTTCTTTTCTTTCCTCTCTTTCTTCTTCTTCCTCCCCCCTCCCGCCACCCCCTGCCCCCGCCAGCCCTTCCCCCGCTAGCCCCTCTACCCTGCCCCTTCCCCTTCCCCGCTGCCCTGCCCCCCCCCCCCCCACCCCTTCCCCCGCCAGCCCCTTCCCCTCCCCTCTGCACGTCACCTTCCCTCGCTGCCGGCCACCCCCTTCCCCCCACCCTCTGCCCTTCCCGCCAGCCCTTCCCCTACCCCGCAGCCCCCTGCCCTGCTCCTTCCCCTTCCCCCGCTGCCCTGCCCCCCTCCCCCCGCCACCTCCTCTGCCCCTTCCCCCTCCCCTCTGCACGCTACCCCCTCTGCCCCGCCACCCCCCTTCCCTGTTCCCCTGTTCTCCCGTCAGCCGTAGCGTTGGCGTGACTGGAGGGAGAAAGAAAAACCAGAGCAGGAGGAAAGTAACTGTTGCTGCTGCATAGGTCGGGTGAGTTTGGCCAGAGAGGGGAGGGAAGGAGAGAGGGAGGGAGAAATGAAGGAAAAAAATTTTGGGAACGCCTGCGCCGAAATAGGTGGCCGGCGTCGAAAACAGCGACGGAGGTAGTGGCCGACGATGAAGGTATGGTGGATGGGGTGGGGGAGAAAGAAGAAGAAAGATAGAAGTTTTTTGTGTATTAGATATTTTAAAGTATGTAGGTTAAAAATTTGATAAGTTTTTTTGGGTTCCTGTAGTTAAAATTGTTAAAAAACTTGGCCAAAAAACTCACTTCCAAACAGGCCCAAAAAACTTAGGTTCCAAACAAAGCCTAAATCACGATCGAAACAAACAGATGCATTACGCACCTCTTTGAATTGGAAGAAGTCATTTAAAGTATCAAACCATATATAATGACAAGTAATTAAAGATAAGATTTAAATCTTTGATTTCTCACCCCACCAAACCTTAAAGACATTGATAGTTGTCAACAGTCCAAATGGTTGTTGGTTAGGAAATCTTAAGTGTACTTTCCTCTTTTTTTTTAATTTATTCTGAGGACTACTCACAATTGTGCATTCGTTTATCTTTAGATATGACCAAATTACAATTTAAATCTCCAAATATCCAAGCTCCGTATAAATTAGGTATTTTTTGTATATTTTGCAAAAATTTGACTATAACAGTTGCTTTGTTTGGATAGAGGATTATTTGTCAAAATTTATTTGCTTACATCATCATTATAATTTCCAACACACCTTTTTATCTTCTCAATTATCTTTTTATCTCACATACATTACCTCACAAAAAGTACTACAGTAAAAATATCTCAAATAATTTACAATCCAAACAGAGCTAGTATTTGTGAAAATCTTCACTCTAGATGGCTCGGTGTTTTTTGAAATATTTTTGAAAAAGTATTTTGGAGTATTTTTAGAATTTAAAATTTTAGTAGATATCTTTTAAAATTTTTTTAAAAAAAACCTTCACCACCCACAGTGGGTGACCCACCACACGTCTTCCTCCCTATCTCCCTTCTTCCTCTTCCACCACCATTACTGCCCCTCCCCCTCCCCTCTCCTCTCTCCTCTCTCTTCCATCTCCCTCTCTTCCTTTTTCTCCCCCTTCTTTCTCCTCTCTCTTCCCCTCTCCTCTAATCCCCTTTCTCACAAGCACTTCCCTTCCCTTCCCTGCTATCTAGATGAGAGAGAAGGGGCGATGATAGAGATGGTGGAGGAGGACATAAATGGTGGCGGTGGAGGGTGGTGGTAATGGGGAAAGAAGGAAGTATTTTAGAATTTGGTAACTTTTTGTTATTTTTTATTTTTATTTTTGTGAATTGTATTTGATATTGTGTGTATTTTTTGAGTTGTTGCTATAGACTCCGAAAATAAATATAGTTTTTGAAAAAAAAATGCTAATCCATATTAGATGTTTTAGGAGTAATTTTCAAAAATATTACTGTAACATTGTATTTCAAAAAATTTCTACTATAGGTTATCCATTTAGATTAGAATGTTTTTGGGATGTATTTTAAGATATTTTCAAAATTTAGTAATTTTATTGAGATATCTTTTACAAATTTGTTAAACATTACCTATCACAGCCACCCACTACCCTCAGTGTTTTTAAACTCGGACTGGACCGGGCGGTCCGACCGGTTCAACCGGGAACCGGTCAAGTGTCCGGTCCGAACTGCTCTAAAAACTCAGATGACAGAAACTCGGTCAAGCCCGGGTCAAAACCGGGTTTGACCGGAAACGGGTAAAACCGATGAGAACCCGGTTTTTTTATTTGCCGTTTTTGTTGCCTTTTTTTTTTTTCTTTGCCTATCTAAATTCGTCCTGATCTCTCACCTCTCTAAAACCCATTTTCACCTCCTCAGCTCCTTCAATTTAACCACCACAATCAGTGCTTGATATCGTTTTCTAAATAAGATTTAATCTTAGATATGGGGAAAATACCCAAAAAAAAAAAAGAGAGATGAAGAAAAGAGCAGATTGAAGAAAAAAGATAAAAGTTTGATTATTTGTTAGTTTTGAAAATAAATACCTAAGGATATAAGAATGGAAATCCTGAAAAGAAATAAGAAATAAGAATGGAAATAAAAACTCAAAAAAAAATGAAAAGCAGAAAGAATGGACAAGACTAGCTTGTCCACTTTGTTCTTGAAGTTGTAGTTAGAACCCAGAATAGACAAGACTTCAATGTCTATTGTAAAGCTTACTCTTGCACTGAATCCATATCAAGAGAACTAAAAAATCAAAAGCATTGTCAAAAATTCGCTGGAAAAACTTAAAGATTGCTCAACCTCTTCGAATTCGTCCATCTCAAAACACAGGGGAAATGTTTCTCAAAACATTCGGAGTGGCTGCCTAAGAGCTTTTGCCACCGATGGGCTTGAGACTTGAGAGCTTATGCGGCCTTCTATGTTCTATCCTTCTTTGGATTTTTTTTTTTTAAAAAAAAAGAAAAAGGAAGAGTGGAATGAACGGAGAACAGGAACAAGAAAAGGTTGCATTAGTTTAGAAAAGCCTTTGTCGGCGGTTAGAGGTAAAGGAGGAAGGAATTGGGGGAATATTAATGTAGGGTTCAAAAAGCTTTTTCAATATTGTATTCTAACCCCTTGGATATTGAAAAACTATTAACATACCTAGAAATGTTTCATAGTCTATAAATATTCTCCACAAATTTAACTTTGAACTTGTAAATATGCATTAAATTATATGAATTACTATTTGATTGTTCTAATTTCTTTGCACTTTCTTGTTAAACAGCTTTGAAACATCAAACACATATGTATACACCTTTATTGATATTAGCATGCTTTTAGATATTTTACATAATATTTTAATTTCAAAATAATTTTTATTAATAACATTGAAGTTATGACAAATCTAAACTTAT